AAAAATTTCGAAGACATCGAACCCGAAGAATCCGAGTCCCTAAGGGACCCCTTTAAAGGAACCCTTGTAGAAGGCTCCTTTAAGGGATTCCTTCTATATCTGACATCCCAGGATCTGAGCACCACGAAATGCAAGCCCGCGCTTACAGAGCCGGAGGCTTCGTCCTACTGGAGCTTCGGTCGCAGAGATCTACGATAGTAATATGTGTATATATATATATACTTTTATGAACAAATACACGTTTGTATATATATATATATATATACATATGGATATATAAAAATATAACTGTGTATATATATATATATACATAGATACATATAATAGTATGTCGTTGCCTAAGTTTGCATTACATTATACTGCCGTATCTTCTCAGTACTATCGAGTTCTATCTGAGAATAAGGTAGATAGACCGACAGGTTTTGAGGTCTTGGGTTGACATTGAGGGTAGGGGTCTAGGCTTCACCTGAGCATGGGACGCCCTGCTGTAAACCGCGGTAAACCGTAAACCCTAAACCCTGCTCCGGTTTAGGTCTAAAGCCTGCGTGACCTACTGTAGGTTCAGGGCTGGCAGCTCAGCAGTTGTCCTCCAGCGTTAGACTAGAGTTAGGTCTAAGAACGGCTTGTAGGGGCCGTCATAACGCAAGCATCTTCGAATCATTAGGGCTTGGGGGGCTCCGTGGAAAAAAATCCATGGAGACTTCAAGAGGAGATATTGTGAATTGGACGAGGTATTTTCAAGTGCTTGCACAGCTTTGCTCATCATGTCATTGTCTTGTTGATACACACTGTTCTTTTTATTCCAGCTCGGTCCCAGACCCATTGACGCCCGTGGAATCGAGTCTTAGTCGGACTTCGGATTCCTTCCGCTGTGGTCACTGGAACCATCTGGAAACCGTGCAGGTGGTAATGGTCGAGAACTGAGTAGTTGCAGTCGGTACTTAGCATTCGTAGCAGGAAAAGATCGAGCTTGCGAGATGGTTACGTATAGGAATTGCTTTCTTGTGCGACTCAAAGTTTCCACTAGAACATGCAAGCTGACCAACGTCATGCCCCAAATCTGTTCCATACCAGCAGCGGCTTGCGAACCCGCGCTGATTCAAGGACCGTCTTCAGTGTGCTTCAGCAGTCCATCTTCGGAGATCCAGGTGATGCCATGGACATCCGAAGCTTAGACTGCCCAGAGTCTGGAGCTATCCGGGCTGGAGTTTCGGATGTCGTGGGCTTTCTGGGTTTCTGTTGAAGGTACCTGTTGAGATCGGCGAATCCTTATCTAGAAAGTCACCCCTAAACCCTAACTTTCCGAGGAATGCTGAGACTCAGGCGTACCTGTGGGTTCGAGGTTGTGGCATCAGAAGGAACGGACCTCGAAAGACTGCGACGTGATTAGGATTTTCTCCGGTGGGTCTAGAGTCTACAGTAGCCTAAACCCTAAGCCCTACTTAAACTCTATAAACTTTACACCCTAAAACCCTAAACCCGAAAATCCAAAAACAACCTTATAGAGTTTGGGGACGCAAGTCCAGGAGTGCTTCCTTCTTGGATTGTCGATGACTGGGCACCCGGGGGGTGGGGTGGGGGGTTGGCGGGGGCCGGGCAGAGTTAAGGTAGGGGCCTTACCAATTAGAAGAGGGTTTGTGGGTTCCTTATTCTTATTATTATTAGTTTTATAGTTATAATATAACATACTCCAAAGCCTCATTCTAATGATTAACGTCCCTATATTAGGCATATCGGGTCTTTGAAGCCCCCGATTTGCTTGGGGTTTAGAGTTTCCGGTTCAGGGTAGCACCTAGGTAGCATCTCGGGCTTCTATTTGGGTGCACTTCTTGCAGCATGCATGTGCATCAGAAGAACCAATTTAATCTATAGGGGCCTAAATAATTACCAA